AAAATGACCACACAGGTGACTCGTTTTCTTATAGGTGTTTTTTTTTTTTACTTTTCCAACCCTTTTTAAGCTGTCACTTACCATGTCTTGCTACATTATTATGCTTGCTTCTAGTCACTCCTCATTCCCGCTTCTAATTTCTGTCCTGTGCTAGGATACCAGACTTATTAGGTTTATTATGTGCCACATAAATGAATTACTCCTTGATCAAGAGCACAAAGCTGCAGCATGCCCGGCATAGCTCCCTTCCAGTAAGGTGCCGGTCAAGGGCGTAGCTTTATGCATGGCCCTGATGGCCCAGGAAATAGCACTCCCTTTTCCCAAGCCCCTCGGGGGACGTAAGGAGTCCAGCAGGTAGAGTCCAAATATCATCTGCACTATAGGCGAAGCAGCCGCCTGGGGGTGGTGCTGGCGTCTGCAGCGAGCTGGGCTTCCTGGTTGAGGACCCCCAAGTCATAGGCTCACCACTTGGTCCCACGCGGACTTGGGGGCCCCATGGCACAGAGATGCCGCCTGACACCCCCGCTTGGTCTAGCCCAGCTCCTGAGAGACAAGGGCCGGCGTGGGGAAGGCAGCCCGGTGTCTGTCCCTCATGACACGGTTTCCAGTCACAGAGGAAGGTGCCTGTCCCTCACGACACGGGTCCGGTCATGGAGGAGGGTGCCTGTCCCTCACGGCACGGGTCCTGTCACGGAGGCGCGGGTGGCTGCGGGGAGGGAAAAGCCCGTCCTAGAGGCTCAGAGCGGGAGATGGTTTCCCTCTGCCGTGACTGCCCGGAGGCCGTGGACAGTTTTCCCATCGGGCGGTGAAGTGGCCGGGCGAGTGACTTTCAGCAAGCGGAGATGTGTGTCCTTTCAGCTCCGTGGCATGACCCGCTTCATGCGACAGTTTGTCATGTTCCAAATAAAAATAATCATTTCCAGAAGCCTTAAACTTAGTTTGTGAAAGTAGCTCGATGCAGTGTCTTTATGAAATACACATCACAAAGCGTGACACCCCGCCGCCCCCCGGGACTGTCCTTTGTGTCCTTGTCCTGAAGCCCTCAGAAGTGGCTCGTCCTCACTGGATGCAGTGTTGTTGGTAGCCGGTCCCCACTCAGCAGGACTGACGACCTCCCCAGGCTGCTCGGGAGGTGGCCGGGAGCAACCCATCAGCGTGGCGTTAGAAACCAGCGTGTGAATGTGCTTAATGCCACTGAACTGT